TCAGAAGTTCGATTTTTTTGTGATGTGTCCAAGACTTCTCATTCATACCTCGTGACAGGACAAAGCCACCTAATGCAAAAAGTACGAGCAAAGCAAATGACCCAAAGGTGTTGGCAACGACCATGTTTCTACTAGCTGCAGCAATAAATCGGAACAATCCCGAAGCCATCTGATTAACTAAAACAAGGATGAAGTACTGCCTAAACAACCTGTGCCAGAAAACTCACTTTCACATCCATTTAGATCAGCGCTAAACAACAAGCAACTATACTATATCAATATCGACTCGTCACTTTGAATCGTTACCTTTCAACATTCGGATCAAATCCAATGACATAGTAGGTAAGAAACACCCATAAACTAACTTCTACAAAGGATATAGGTATCTTGAGTATCCATGTTGGTAGAGCATATGCCCATGAAGGATAGAATAGGAGGTCTCTCTGCTTGAAAAAGACAGGAAGCTTAGAAATGGTCATGGAAATCTCGGACATCCCATTAAACATGATAGCAACCAACCCAGCGGTCATGGCCCCCGTATAGATTCCTCCCCCTTTAATTGAATCATGCATCATCTCAGTCCTTAGGAAGAGTGTCATGGTAATAAATGCCATTATTGTGAGCTAGTAGCACAAAGAAAATAAAGTTAAGAGTCACAGTTTAAATCTTTGATAATCGTGGTACAAGAAACGAATTTCATTAGTACATGTATAGACTTGAATAGGTAAACGAAAGAGTTTCTCTTCATCAGAAGATATTCCCTTGAGATGCAAGCTTTGAGCAACTCTTTCTTTCCAATACCATACTTTGTGGTTGTCAAAGCAGCTGGATGGCTCTTTGTTTTGTCCAATGGAACATCAAGTTCATCTCTGAGTTTCTTTCCCACGTGAAATGATTGGAATGCCTCAGAGAATTCATTGGCCGTGACAAACCTGTAAGGTTGATCTTTACGTACCCAATACTGCTTTTGATCTTTCCTTGATGTAACCTGCAATGAACATAGTCCTGTTAAATGTTATAGAAGAGTAACTTTGGTCCTAATGGAAAAAAGGATCAAAACTTACTTCTTGCAAGAAGTCTGCCACGCCTTTTCTCTCCGGACATTTGAAGCCCATAGATTCAAAGAAGCTCAGCACGTGTTCACGAGGACCCAGATATACAATCCGGCCATGAGAAAGTAAAATAATGTCATCAAAAAGATCATAAGTCTCTGGAGCTGGTTGGAGAAGAGATGACCGCAGTTCCATTAAGGATGTGAACACTTTGCTTGAGGCAGTTGACAATTTGGAAAGTTGTAGAGCTGTCCAGACCAGTGGATATCTCATCCATAAACAGTGCATTTGCTGGTCCAACCATCATCTCACCTAATTGGATTAACATATTTAGATTTCATGATAAGAGATTCAGGGTAATTTACAGATTGAATTAATGGTGTATTTGATATCATGAATTACCTGTTGTGACACGCTTCTTCTGTCCTCCCGAGATGCCCCTCGACATTTCATCTCCTACCATAGTGTCTGCACATACTTCCAGTCCTAAAACCTGCAAAATTTATGGCAAAGCTATTCAATAAGTAATGAAATTTTCTTTCATTATACTTCAACCTCTCTGTAACTTTTACCTTTAGCATATAGTCGGTGATTACATTTGCTTCCTGACCTTCTGTTGCTACTGCCTAAAATATTAGAAAGGCAAAGTACATCATGAATTAATGCATGATTCTGTATAATATATTCCTGAAATATTATAATGACACTTTTTCCCTTACCTTCATGAAGACATCCATATCAGGATCAGGTTTAATGTTTGCCTGTTTCTCTCTTCTCGTCAGCTCTGCTAACATCTCTGTAACACCCCCCAACCCCCCCCCCCCCCAAAAAAAAAAAAAACAAATTTCATGAGGATAAAGAATTTGTTCCAAAAGATATATATATATATATATATATATATATATGTGTAAGTATATATACATCAAAAGGACTGGAAAATGAATCAAACGTACCATAGCGTTCCCCAACCCCTTGACATCTAGCAGCAAAGGCCAAAGTTTCCCTCACAGTCATTTCTCCAATGTGAAGATCATGTTGACTGATATAGGCAGCTGTTCTCTGTGGCACAAACTCATCCATGGCATGCCCGTTGTAAGTCACCGTCCCTGAACACTGGAAGAGGAGCTTACTCTCAAATTAGAAATCAAAACAATGAAAAAAGAAATTAATGAATTCCATTTGAAAGAAAAATTAAATTTTGTCAAGCACCTTGAGTGTAGGATCAAGCTTCCCAGCTAAAGCCAACAGCAGAGTGGTCTTCCCAGAGCTTGGAGGACCCAATAGCAATGCCATCCTTTAATAAATACGTGAGAACAACAATGATTGAGTAATTCCAGGATCGCTGCAACTTTTATTTTCAGGATAAAATAAAAAATTCATATATCGCCATTGTTACCTGCCCGGTTTAATGATGCCACTGACATCATTGAGGATGGTAAATTTTTCTTTCTACTAGAAAGAATACCGATATGATTAAAAAATCCCTGTAAACCCAGTACAAAATGAAACATGAGATATGATCCCAAGCAAACAAAACTGTTAAAAAGTTAAGGAAATTTTCCGGGTTGCTACCTCAATTATACCAGTAGTGAAATTAAGAACTGTGGGCAAAGCACTGGTTCCAACAAAAGCTTGGGCTTCAATGTTTAGATGTTCAAACCGGACTTCAATTGTGGGAAGATCAATGCCAACCCTGAAAAAGAAGAGCCAATGCCATGAAAACTGGATCTTTGATTCTTTCCATTTCATTTTCCTAGTAACCAAACATGGAAAAAAATAAGGCAAAAATTGATACCTAGCTACACGGTTCTTGAGCTTCAACAACAACTTCTCATTATCTTCCTCTGCAACTTTGACCAACCTCTCAAGCAAAACCTTTCGTTGTTGCCACCCAAGTTTATGAACATCGATTTCACTGGCACCACCTTCAGAGCTGGTCAATATACCTTTCCTCAGACGAGAAACAGTTGGTAGTCTCTCGAGTGCAGCCCACATTAAAGCTTCTTCATCATCTTCTTCTCTATAAGACCTTGAAAATGGCTCCACGTCATTGTTTCTCCATGCCAATGACGTTGGTGATCGTAAACTACTACTCGCTCTGTAAATATCACTACCCTCCATTATCGAAATAAGAAAACACCCACCAGAGCTATATCACAAAACGTTAACGTTTTGGGAGCTCCAATCAACAAAAGAAAAAAAAAGATTGTAGTTTTAGTTTTGAAACTGAATCCCAACAAAAGAAGATAGAAACAGTATGTATGAAGTTGAAGAATTTGCTGGTGCATGAATATTAAGAAGGCTGTTGCGATGTATATACAAGCATGATAGCAATTCTTCTAGAAGCCTTTTTGTTAACTTTGTTAGCAATTCTTCTAGAAGCCTTTTTGTTTAGTTCTTCTTAACCAAACACTGCATCTTAAACAATCTCGATGGTAAAAAAAATATTGTTATTTATTAAAGTATTAAGTTCGAATATTGATTATATACAAAAGTTTAATGTTAAATGATTGAAAATAATTTTAAACACATATTATTTTATATTTACCTACATTAATAAAAAAGGATAAAGTATATTAATGGTCACTGAACTTTTTTAAAGCTTTTATTTAAGTCTTCAACTTTTAAAACTTACAATACAATCCTTTAATATTTAGTCTATTTGCAATATGATTCCCACCGTTACACTGCCGTTAGTACATTTTCAATATGGTCACTAAACTTTTCAGGAACTTGCATTTAGGTCTCCCAACTTTTAAAACTTACAAAACAGTCATCAAATTCATTCTAAACTCCAAATTCATTTTCGATCTCGAATTTCCTTTTTCGATTCTCTCTTCTCATTTCTAGCGTAACTTTTTAGTCGGGGATGAATGGGAAATTATAATCTAACTTTGAATTATGTGGAGGTATTGAATAAGGAGTACTGAATATCTTTGATAAGGAGTACTAAAAGTTTTGATTAAGAAAAAAGAAAGAAAATTAGATGGTTTTGGTTCAAAACTAACACTGAATATCCAGATCATTGACATGCAATTCTAGAAACATAAAAATTTCAGTGACCATTACTATACTTTGCCCTAAAAAAATTAAGATAAGATAAACGCCTGCACGTCACCATGGATGTCTATTAAATTTAAATTGATATTTTGAGGATGTCTTGTAAAATTGAAATATAATTTTGATTATAATAGGATATTTATCTTAAAATTAAAAATTATGTAGATATGATTAATTAAGGACGATAATATTAAATAAATATAGGTACGTGACATGATTTAATAGGATAAAAATAAGATTTAAAAGATAATTTATTAGTTTGGTTCCCATTTTTACTCTTAAAAGTATTTTTTATCAAATATAATCCTTTAACTATATTCTGTTAATAGTTTTAGTCCTTTTATTTAACGTGGTTAAAAAATTATATAATTCTCCAATTAATTAGTAAGTGGCATGTAAAGGGTTAAATTAGAAAGAAACTTTTAAGGCATAAAATTTTTCTATCAAAGATACTTTAACATAAAATTTTTGCATCAAAGATACTTTAACATAAAATTTAGATAAAGTTTCATTATCAACCATGATGAAGTCTTCAAAGCTAGAGGTTAAGTTTGAATTGCTTCAGTTTAGTTGTTATGGCGTTGATCATACACTTAGAGGAATTGTTAAGCATCCAAATCATAAATAAGGCATTTAAGGCCTTGTCGTCCTGCTAAAATTGTTTTCCAAGCTTTCTCCTCTACGGAGGTTTTCAATCTACCCTCTCAATATTCCTAATTTTGACCCCTCAACCAAAGGTGGTTCCACTACGAAACTTATTTTGACAATGATAATCCAACATTTGCATAATTGTGATAGGAACGAAACATGCATACACGTACTTACAGCACTTGTTTCTTCTTCTCTAACATCTTAGCGTTACAGAGATGATCTTTTGAACACATAAAGAACAGAACTCTAGCGTTTCTGGAAATTAAACAACTTTATGGACACGGTGAAGATGGCTCCAAATAGTACTGTAAAACCGATAACTATAGCTGCCACAACCCCAATGAATTCATGTCTGAAACCGAAATAACTTCTCAAGTTTTGTTCAACTGTTCGACCATCCTCAAGGACATCCTGAATGTCTCCGAACTGTGAAACAACCAGACCATACAATGTCCAAGATACCGGACAAATGTAATAGTACCATCTCCACCATTTAGGAATGCTCTGTGATTTAAGGAGTTGGAAAGAGTGGAGGAAAATTAGTCGTTTCGAAAATGAGTGAATATCTCAACGACTTACGAAAACGACACTTACTGGTCGTGGGATTATGAATCCAGGGAACAAATCCCATATTCCGTAGAATGCCGATGAAACTATGGCTGCAATGTGGTGGTTTGGTGTGACAGCCAGAGTCATCATGCCATAGAAGGTGAAGTACAGTAAGGTGAAGTACATGAAGAAGAGAAACCAGAAGAACTTGGCAGCAGTCCATTTGAACGTGATCATCGGGTACACTATAAGGCCATACACAGCAGCTTGAACGAAAATATAAGGTATCTCAATTAAGACCTGCAGTTGCCAAGTGCGAAAGTCGGTTCTAATGTATTACATCTAGCACTACTTTCTTTCCAGAGTGAAAACTCTTCATAACAAAAACAGAAAGGAGAAAAACATGCCTGGGCAATGGCATATGGCATAGCAGAATACATTCCAGCAGCTCTTTCTCTATAAAAGACTGTCCGTTCAACCGCCACCACGGGCTGCACTGATGCACCATTTTGGATACCGAGGAAAAGAACAGCAGCATACATTGAACCCATTGCATTGACCAGATCTTGCCTCTTTTCCCTGTAATTTTACAATGTGACAGTTAGATATATGAATATGATTAAAGACCAACGGTGGAGTAGCCTACGTTCTCGTCCCAAGATCCCAGAACAGTGTCCCGAACATCAATGCTATGACGGTCGTAAAAAATAATCTCACAGCAGTATAAGCAGGGTTGCGCCAATATGACCAGTGCTGCTTCAATAAACAAGCTGCACACGTAGTCAAGAATGGCTGAGAGAACTGAGTGGGAAAATAGAGTTCCTTCGAACCAGGAGCAGGAGCAGGTTTGCTTAAATCTTTAATAAGATCCTTGTTTCTCCTGAACAAATGGCATTCATCAGTTTAAATTCAAGGTCATATATAAATCCCATGCTGAATGAAACCAAACTGATTCATGTAATGTTGATTATTACCTGTACAAGTCTGACTTTCCGTATATATCAGCAAAATCAACTCCTAAAGCTAATTCCTGAGCTGTTGTGGTAACTTCCAACATCCAAGTTGCTGGATTGTAGCAATCTTTGATTTTGCTAACTCCAATTCCCTGAACAAGATGAAAGAATATCATGTCATAGATATAGTCCATATGAGCCAAGAAACGAATAAGCCGACAAACTTAGTCACTTCTGGTATTTCACTTCATCTCACCTCGAAATAATCAATAAGATGTTTAGAATGGTGTCCTAGTGGCCCCACATATATCTCTTGTCTTCCTCTCTTCATAAGGAACAGCTGCAATAGCATATTCATTTAGTTATACAATTACACTGAACTGAATTGTTTTCGAACTAACATGGTTCTCACCTCATCAAATGCTTCGAATATGTCGATACTTGGCTGATGAATGGTGCACACAACTGTTCTTCCAGTGTCCACTGTGTTCCTAACTGTTCTCATAACAATTGCAGCAGCTCTTGCATCAAGCCCTGAAGTTGGTTCATCCATGAAAATGATAGAGGGATTTGCTACAAGCTCAACCGCTATAGTAAGCCTTTTTCGGTGCTCAGTTGATAAACCATTTACACTAGGTAAACCAACTTGTGCTTGCCTCAATGGATTCAGTTCCACAAGATCCATGACTTCGTCTATGAACATCTGATAACATAGTATTAAATAAAATCAACAACTAAATTTGAGCAAAAGTAATCGTTAGGACAACAACGTGTTATTTTGTTGGCTTCTGTTGTCGGGATCATTAGGAAAATGTATTATTGCCCGAGTAAAAACTTCTTGTAGCAAAGTATAGAAAGAGACTTGAAAAGGCTTAACGTTTCATGAATGCCAACCTTTCTGGTTTCAGCACCAACTTCTTTTGGTAGTCGAAGCCAAGCAGAATAGAGCAAGGATTCATACACAGTGACATGAGGAGAGTGAATGTCATTTTGCTCACAATATCCCGATACTCGAGCAAATGTTTCTTGCTTCTTCGGGAAACCTGAAACAGTGATGTTCCCCTCAATGTAACCACCAGTTTTTCTGCCAGCAAGCACATCCATCAGAGTGGTTTTACCAGCACCACTGACACCCATGAGAGCCGTGAGAACGCCTGGTCTGAAAGAACCACTAACACCCTTCAATAGCACCAATTTATCTTCATTGGCACCTTGTTCTTTTATTTCCTGTAATTTCAAACAATCCAATAAACTCTCTTATTTGGACACATTAACTGAACAGGTATATGATATTCATACATGGAATCTTATGTTACCTGCGGCATATCAACTGAATAGATAACATCGTCAAATGCAATTGAATGTGGCTCAAACGAAAGAACCATCCCCTTTTTCTTGTTCCCGATGGTAGCCTCGGCCACAGACAATGACTTGGATGAGATGCTTCTTTGAGTGTCATCTGGAACCTCTGCATTTCAGTTATATTTAGAATGTACACAATGGCTTGTACACAAGACCCAAGGATACAAAAACTAAACGAAACCTAGTACCTGGTCTAGTTATACTGCTTGAGCTACTTCCATTGTTTGATAACTGAAGCTTGTCACCAACTCCATCGGTTTGCTCGATCTCTTCTGGTGTTTCTGATATTACAGCCTGATTCTTCTCGAATGCTGCATATTTATTTGCAAAAGGGTAAAAGATTAGCTCTTCCTTCTAAAGAAGCATAAATTTAAGACATTTTAGGAGGTGTCAATAAAGCTATACTCACGCTTTAGATAGGCAAGGGCCAGAGTATACAAGAAGTTGAACAATACTATGAATCCAAGCAATCCTCCTACTCCGAACCAATACCACTTTGGATCATGGAAGAAACCCCTAGATTTCAAAACTTTAATTCCCAGTGATTCATTTGAGCCCGGAAGAGTCTTCAATATGAAACAAAATCTTAAATATCAGCAGATCGTTAAGAGATAAATCGAAAAATCGATAGACATTGCAAATTCGAAGCATTACTCGTCTCCACTGGTTTCCTAGGAATTCATTAACCATCAATGCATTTTGTCCATACATCAAAGGAGAAATCCAGTATCCCCATATCCACCATTTCTTTATGTCCTCTGTAACATTAAACAAAGAAAATCAAATATGAATTTTCATTTTTATCAAAATTTTGATTTTTTGGTGATATGTCCAAGACTTCTCATTCATACCTCGCGACAGGATAAAGCCACCCAATGCAAAAAGTATGAGCAAGGCAAATGCCCCGAAAGTGTTAGCAACGACCATGTTTATCACAGCTGCACCAATAAATCGGAACAATCCCGAAGCCATCTGATTAACTAAAACAAGGATGAGGTACTGCTTAAACAACCTGTACCAGAAAAATAACTTTCACCTCAATTTCTATCACAGTTAATAAACAAGAAATGGTACTATAAATGGTACTAGTCAAGTTCCCCTCGGAGTTTTTATCATCTATTCGTTTCTTTACCTTCCAACATTCGGATCCAATCCAATGACATAGTAGGTAAGAAATACCCATATGGAAACTTCTGCAAATGAGACAGGGATCTTGAGTATCCATGTTGGTAGAGCATATGCCCATGTAGGAAAGAATAGGAGGTCTCTCTGCTTATAGAAGACGGGAAGCTTAGCAATCGTCATCGATATCTCCGCCATCCCATTAAACATGATTGTAGCCAAGCCGAAAAACAAGGCCCCCATATAGATTCCTCCCCCTACGACCGAATCGCGTCTCATCTCGGTCCTCAGAAAGAGTGTCATGGTAATGAATGCCATCACTGTGAGCTGGTAGCACAAAAATAAATAAATAAATAAATAAATAAAGTTAAGAGTCACAGTTTAAACCTTAATAATGGTGGTACAATAATTGATTTTCATTAGTACATACTTCTATAAACTTGAAAATGTAAACGAAAGAGTTTCTCTTCATCAGAAGATATTCCCTGGATATGCAAGCTTTTAGCAACTCTTTCTTTCCAACACCATACATTTTGGTCGTCAAATTAGCTGGATGGCTCTTTGTTTTCTCATACGGAACACCAAGTTCATCTCTGAGTTTCTTTCCCAAGTGAAATGATTGGAATGCCTTGGAGAAGTTATCGGCCGTGACGAATCTGTAAGGTTGATCTTTACGTACCCAATACTGCTTTTGATCTTTCCTTGATGTAACCTGCAATGAACATAGTCGAGTTAAATGTGACAGAAGAGCAACTTTGGTCCCAATGGACAATGGATTAAAACTTACTTCTTGCAAGAAGTCGGCCACACCTTTTCTCTCCGGACATTTGAACCCCATTTATTCGAAGAAACTCAGCACATCTTCACGAGGACTGTGATATACTATCCGACATCAGAAAGTAGAATAATGTCATCAAAAAGATCATAAGTCTCTGGAGCTGGTTGGAGAAGAGAGATGACTGCAGTTTCATCAAGGATATGTACACTTTGCTTGAGGAGGTTCACTATTTGGAAAGTTGTAGAGCTGTCCAGACCAGTAGATATCTCATCCATAAACAGTACCTTTGCAGGTCCAACCATCAGTTCACCTAATTGGATTAACATATTTATATTTCATGGTAAGAAATTCAGGGTATTTACAGATTGAATGAATGGTTAATTTGATATCATGAATTACCTGTTGTGACACGCTTCCTCTGTCCTCCGGAGATACCCCTTAACATTTCATCTCCTACCATGGTGTCTGCACATACTTCCAGTCCTAACACCTTTATAATATAGTCGGTGATTACATTTGCTTCCTGACCTTCTGTTGCTACTGCCTGGAATATTAGAAAAGACAAAGCAAATCGTGATGAATGTGCG